GCATGCCAGGATGCCCAGCTAATTTTTATATTTGTAGTAGAGATGAAGTTTTGCCATGTTGGCCAGGCTGGTCTCAAACTCCTGATCTCAAGTGATCTGCCCACCTCAGCCTTCCAAAGTGCAGGGATTACAGGTGTGAGCCATCATGCCTGGCCTGACTCAGATTTAATTTCAATAAATGAAGTGATTGTAATTAATGGCACTACTAAAGCAAAGACTGTTTTATTATGTAAATTAGGCAGGACATAAGATTTACTGTTTTAAATGAATACTTATCCTTTCTTGGATATAAAGAAGAGGTGAGAAGTAAAAAGGAAACATAACTAGTAAGACATAAATTAACATTTTTTCCATTTAGGCAATAAAGAGAATAAAACAAAAATCAGGCTGGACACAGTGGCTCAGGCCTGTAATCCCAGCACTTTGGGAGGCCGAGGAGAGCAGATCACCTGAGGTCAGGAGTTCAAGACCAGCGTGGCCAACCTGGTGAAACCTCATCTCTACTAAAAATACAAAAATTAGCCAGGCATGGAAGCATGTGCCTGTAATCTCAGCTACTTGGGAGACAGAGGCAGAAAAATCGTTTGAACCCAGAAGGTAGTGAGCCGAGATCATGCCACTGCACTCCAGCCTGGGCAACTGAGTGAGATCTGTCTCAAAAACAAAAACAAAAATCATAGCAACCTGCCAGTCATACTTGATTCAATTTACTATGTTTTTCTTCTTCTGATAAGGGAAGAGGAATGTCAAGTAGGAATGGGACTCACAGAAACAGAAAGACAAATTTATAAAGCATTTCTTGATATAATACCAGGATTAGCCATGAAAATTAATTTTGTTGTACATAAGGCCAACAATTTGTGGAAAAAGAATGACCATGGATTTTAATTTAATTTAAAAGGCATGGCAAATGTACCTGCTTCTTTTAAAGTGTTGCATTTCTGATATATAGATGTCCGCAAGGTAGGTGCCCTTACATTATACAGCCTTATCTTATCAATCCGAGAGTCAAAGACCCGAAGCAAAGGATCTTTCTCTTCCCACTGAGACATAATTTTATTATCAATAAAGGTGGCAAACATCTGTGTTTCAATGAAGCGTGAAAGAAATGGCAGGTAAGGCTCAGGCTGGTCAGACAGAAAGGAAGCCTGTAATGAGATAATTAGGAAATTATTAGTGCAAAGAGACCATCTCAACACTCTATGATAAGCCTGAAAAAAATTATGTTAACTCAGGACATTCTTTTTAAGTCTTCTAAATTCAAAAATTCTTAAAAATCCACTTTTCTTTCAATTTTCCTAAATTCAGAGAATGTAGGTCACTCAGGTCTCTAGCACCGATCCTAACTTACAAAACTGATTTACATTCTGATCCTTATGACCATTATGTAGAAGAGAGGGCATCATTAATGAAAGATGGCAGATAGATAAGTTGCTATACGATTGTCAAGCAACTTTACTTGCAGTTAAAAATTTTTATCCCTTTCCCCAGTGAGCTATAATTTCTTCTGTTCTCTATTCCTAGCCTATGCAATATACATTCAAGCCATAAGGTAGTGAGATGATTAACTGATACAATAAACATATCAGCATTTATCTTAAAAAAAAAAAAAAAGGACATGAAATTTATGCTTATGGGTGAAATTCTTTCGTTCTTCTTCAAGGGAATGCTTTTCTAGACTCTGTTAGAAACCAATAGATGAGTGTTAAGCCAAGGTCAAATTCCTTCCACACTTGTGCTGACACAAGAGTCTCAGCCTTAACAACTAAAAAAGGCACTGCCTGGAAGCTGGGCATGGTGGTGCCCACCTACAGTCCCAGCCACTAGGGAGGCTGAAGTGGGAGGACTCTGTGAGCCCAGCAGTTTGAGGCCAGCCTAAAGAAATACAGTGAGATACCATTTCCAAAAAACAAACAAATAAAACAAAGCATTGCCTGAAAAGCCATCAGAAGCAAGCCTTTGGAGAACATGTACAATAAGTTGTACACCTTTCCTGTTACTAGCCTGTCTGATGCATGGGATGGTTCAGTACATCATAATCAGTTCCTAATTCAAAGTTTTAACTTTTTTTCTGTTGTTCTTCATGTCCATTGTGTATAGGAATTCTAGATTCAAAGCAGTACTAGCTAAAATTTGGAAGTAAATTCCTATTTTGGTTGCTGGGTTAGTTTTTATTTTTGTATGACAGAAGCCAGAAGGGGAAAGATGAAAGGGTAAGTTCTGACATAAGGTGACTTTTAAAAATATTCATCAGCTTCTTGCTAGCATATGTATTTTTCATTCTGAAATTTAGGAGGTCTTTTTAAAATTTCCTTATGGAATTCCACTTACTCACTCTATAGTTCAGGTATATATACATAAATCCAAATAACCACAGAAACAGTCATAGTAGTCTCTAGAAATCAGTTCACCTCCACCAATAAATATCAATTTTACTTTTTAATAGATCAAATGCCATTTTAAAAAAAATCTGGATTTTGACATTCAGACGCTCACAGACTATAAAATTTGAGGTCAGCAAAGATGTGGCTTGTAGAACAAATATGTCCTGCAAATTTTCCTAGTGAAAGATAATTATAAGCCTTCTGGAATCCAACAGAAAATTTTCATTTCTTTAGGGGTTATATAAAAAGAATTTCATTTATAGTTTGAGGCTACATAAAGATTAAGAAGGAAGGAAGTATCAGGGCTTGATTTAGGTAAGAATTTGAATTGTCCCAAGGATAAACCTAGGATATACACAGATTACTTCTAAGCTAGATAAGAAAAAGTATGGAAAATGGTTAAGATTCATGAGAAAGGAACCTAAGGGCAGGAACACACTTAAAGAAGGAAAGTCTTGTTAATATTAAAGAAGTTTTCTCAAACACAAAGTGCATCAGGATGCTTTTGTAGTTCATAAATGTAGTGATTGGCTTTTCATGCTCATGTGTGAGATGTGCCTTTATCAAACTTTGTTACCATGTTGGCACATTACCTGTCTGATGGGAAAAACAAAGCACATCAGAATATAACTGTTCAATATACAACATTATCCTCCAACAGAAAAAATATCTGATGAAGTAAAAAAATTATCTTTTATTTATTTATTTTTTTGAGACAGGGTTTCACTCTCTTGCCCCAACTGGAGTGCAGTGGAATCATCTTCCCTCACTATAGCCTCAACTTCCCAGGCTCAAGTGATCCTACCTCAGCCTCCGGAGTCATTGGGACCACAAATGCACACCACTATGCCTGGCTAATATTAAATTTTTTTGTAGAGATGAGTTATCGCTATGTTGCCTAGGCTGGTCTCAGACTCCTGGCCTCAAATGATCCTCCAGCCTCAGCCTCCTAGTGTTGGGATTATGGGTGTGAGCCACCATGCCCAGACATTATGTACCTTTATGCAAATTTTTAATTATTTCCAAAAATTATCCACTGTTGTAGATTAGCCTCTTGGAATGTATCAACCCCTTCAGACGGCCTTTCACGGCACAAAGATGCCACTTAGTGAAATCCACGATACATTCTAATAGCGGTATTGTACCTCGGCAATCACAGAGGCAGAGAACCAAACTGTACCCTGGTAACCTAAAAAAGTTAATATATAATCCTAAGTATATCTGTCTGGAAAAAAAAAAATCTAGGAGATAGGTGAAAAAAACCTGGCAGAAGAATCCAGTACTCCTCACAGGACAATGGAAAGCTGATATCATTTTCTATCTTCCCTTACCAAAATCTTTGGAACCATTTTAAACTTACAGTCATAAGATCTAATTTAGTCACTCTTTTTCTCCTTTGATCTTAGAATGAGAGAGAAATTTGGCTTCTGAAACTAAACTGCTACATTTACATGGACAAGTTGTGACTTCCTGATAGGATAAAGACTAAATATATATAAATTTATTCAAAAAGGAGTAGGCTTATTTAACTAGACTTGATCATAAAATAAGTGCAAATAAAACCATTATAAGGTCAAACAGTATTAATGGATTTGGAAAACCTGCAAAATCTAAGAGTTTTTCTATAATTTTTTGTTTCTGTCTCTGAGACACAGTCTCACTTTGTTGCCCAGGCTGGAATGCATTGGCGCCATCTCAGCTCACTGCAAACTCTGCCTCCCCGGTTCAAGTGATTCTCCTGCCTCAGCCTCCTGAGTAGCTAGGACTACAGGTGCACACCACCATGCCCGACTAATTTTTTGTATTTTTAGTAGAGATGGCGTTTGACCACATTGGCCAGGCTGGTCTTGAACTTTGGACCTCGTGATCCACCTGCCTCAGACTCCTCAAGTGCTGGGATTACAGGCATGAGCCACTGTACCTGGCTTGAGTTTCTATAATTTAAGTATCTTCAAGGTAAATAAAAATTTAAAATGAGATTACAGGCAATTTAACACACCATTTAATGACCAGCTCAATGAAGCTGGCTGATTTGCTTTCTTGTAAAATTATTTTATCTAATGCAAAAATGCTTGGTAAAGGAAAGTCCTTAATGGGATGTAGGATAAAAAGTCTACATTTAAAAAAGGTTAACAAAACTAATAATATGTGGGTAAGCATAGGCATAAAAGAAAAAAAAATTAAAAATCAGTAATAAAGGCACTAATCACCACAAAAAGGAAAACTATGGTTCTTTTTACTTTGTCAAAGTTCTGCATCTGTTCCCGGTTGGTCAGCCAAGATTCCATGTCCTGAGCAGTCTGAATGACAAATGCTTCATAATCTGCAAACATCTGTGTAAAGCGGTTAGCAAAGACCTCTCGGAGCTGTACATTGAGCTGGTAGTCCCTTAGTTCTGCCTCTTCACACTGCAGTTTTAAATCCTTGTCTTTTTCACCCAGAGAAGCAGAGAGGTCCATTTTTTCCACAGCCACACCAGTCCGCTTGGCCAGAGCCTGCAAGCGGGCTATGGTTTCATTGCCCTTTAGTAACTCATACATGGTGATGTTATTAGTGGAGACATTGCCGTTCTTTTTGTCACTGACCAAGTCTTTCAGAACCAGATTCTTCAGTTTGCTGGTATTCTCACTGCAATGTAGGCTGCCCTCAGGAGGGATCCCAAATTGAAGAAGAACCTCAGAGAGTTCTTGGATAAAATCCACTTTATTGGGGAACTGTGGAAATTCTTCAGGCAACTCAATAAAATGGTTGTCAATGTCCACAAAACATAAATTAGCCTGAAAGAGAAAAATGAAATACAAAGGTTTAAAATAAACGAATTCTATGTTCTAAAATATTCTTGCCAGCCAGCCATGGTGGCTCACACCTATAATTCCAGCACTTTGGGAGGCCAAAGCAAAAAGGGTCGCTTGAGCCCAGGAGTTTGAGACAAGACTGGGAAACATGGCAAGACCTCATTTCTACAAAGAGAAAAAACAAAAAAAATCTTTCCAACTATCACAAACAAAAGCATAGATTATGATGCCTTTTATGTTAATCTTCACAAGGTTTAGAATTTCTTATTCTTTAAAAATAACCTCCTTTTCCATCAATTTCCCCTATGTGAGTATTTTTATGCCATATTTAATATATATGATAATTTTTTCTGGGTCTCAGCAATATATTATAATCTGATATGATTTTCTAACATTTGGCATCCATTAGGCATTCCCATGTGGGTTTGGGTGCCCAGACTCGTAAGACCTTACAATTAAATAATATTAGGTAAAGTGCTCACTTGAACTTTCTTTGCCACTCCACTGCTCTAACATCTGTAATTTAGAATTGACAATAATCATTAAAAATCAGCAGCTATAGTATCTCCCAATAGGATGAAAGTGGTAACATCAATCCAATTCACAGATAATCCACAAATTTTCACTTTACTCAAAATTTACTAAACCTCCTAGAGCAAAATCATTTCAGAAGTCATTATACCTAATGCAGGAGGCAGAAAGAGGTGGTACAGGCAAGTGCATATATAACTACAAATGATTAACCTCTGAATAATCAGAAATTTACTCAAGATATTTTGAGTTGAGAAAAAACGGTGACAAAAATAAGAAGAAATTTTTTTTTTGAGTTTGCTTACACTCTACATTTGGAATTTATTTTGAATAAATATTTTTCAAATAGATACAGAAAATTCAAGAGGATAAGCATATGCAAAAAGTTCTGATTATCCCTCAGGTATCTGTAGACTCCAAATTGTATTTTATACCTACACTGTCCATATTCTCTTAATCAGAACAAGGTTGTTAAAAGAAGGTTGTGCTTCTAGACTGGGGTGCGGGATGCCAAAAGTGTAGCCTATCACATACAAATAATATTGGGCCAAGTGCAATGGCTCACGCCTGTAATCCCAACACTTTGGGAGGCCGAGGGGGGCGGATCACGAGATCAAGAGATCGAGACCATCCTGGCCAATACAGTGAAACCCCATCTCTACTAAAATATAAAAATTAGCTGGGCATGGTGGCGCACATCTGTAGTCCCAGCTACTCGGGAGGCTGAGGCAGGAGAATTGCTTGAACCTGGGAGGCGGAGGTTGCAGTGAGCCGAGATCGCACCACTACACTCCAGCCTGGTGCCTGGTGACAGTGAAACTCTGTCTCAAAAAAAAAAAAAAAAAAAAAAATTGATTACATTAATGGTTGAACACAAGGCATGGGGTGGAAGTCAATAAACAAAGTACGAAGCTTCACCATTTGTTTCTCCCTGGCTTTCCCACCCCCAGGTCACCAAGGGGAAAATTCATACTGTTCTTTAATCCTAGATGGCAAAGTAAGGGGAAAGGAAAAAGCAAACAGTTGGATATTTGTTTTTCTCTTGATCCTTGCTCTTCATGTTAGATACCAATTAGCAAGCTGCACAGTGAAATTCTAAATTAAGTTCAATAAAAACTCAAAATGAGGCCTGGCACAGTGGCTCACGCCTGTAATTCCAACACTTTGGGAGGCTGAGGTGGGCAGATGACTTGAGGTCAGGAGTTTGAGACCAGCCTGGCCACCATGGTAAAACCCCATCTCTACTATACAAATTAGCTGGGCATGGTGGCATGTGCCTATAATCTCAGCTACTCAGGAAGCTGAGGCAGGAGTATCACTTGGACCCAGAAGGCAGAGGTTGCAGTGAGCCAAGATTGTGCCACTGCACTCCAGTCTAGGCAAAACAGAGCAAGACTCTGTTGGAAAAAAAAAAAAAAAAATCAAGATTTCTCTCCATTCAAAGCCAAATGATTAGCAATGATTCCTAAAGTCTGATGTAATTTTTGAATCCAGCCTTTTCATTTTGCAGATGAAGAAACCAAGGCCTAAGAAGTTAGGTGACTTCCTGGCACCTGTTCCAAATGTGCACCCTCAAACAGACTGGTGGCTTATGGCCTTTCCCCGCTATTTTTCCTCACCTCCAATGTCAGTAATTTTCTAAATAAATTAAGAACTGAAATGTCACATCTTGCTGAAGACAGTAGTACTGCCTACACCATTCTTTACATTGAAAGACTTAAATGGAGAAAGTAGGTCACATAATTCAAATGGATGATTCAGTATCTTTAAAATGGAAAAAAAAATTTACTAAGTTGCTAATCTAAATGTTAACCAGCAACCTCCCACCACTTAGACTTTGTACTATCCCCTTTATTAATGCCTTCCTACTACCTTTTTCTACCCCTCTCCTCCTCCTATGAGAAGGGAAAATGATACATTTTCTGAAATTTGAAAGATTATTATGCTCACGAAATCGCTGCTGAGCCGAAAGTGTGCTACAAGGTAGGAGTTCCAACACCACAGCTACTGGCCTGTCTTCATGATCCAATAAAAGTCTCCTAGGTCTGCTTAAGAGGGCCCAAGCTGGGGCTTTGATTACCACAAAGTAGAACAGGAAATACAAACTGTGTTATGAAAATGTATTGAAGAAAACCAAAAACCCCTTTCTCTAAAACAAACAAGAACTCTCCATTCTGATACATCACTTCTCACTCTTAACACCATTAAATTAAAAAAATTGTTCAGAAGAGCTCAGTAAGTACTACCTGATAAAAATTTATTCAACACCTCAATCTGACATCATTTTAGGACTAAATATGTCTACTGATCAACACTGCTCACAAGCCTTCGTGATATGTAACTACTTCCTATTAAAAACAAAAAAAGTTAATAAATAAAATAAAACAACAACAACAACAAAAGTGGGCCAGGTGTGGTGACTCATGCATGTAATCTCAGCACTTTGGGAGGCTGAGGCGGGTGGGTCATTTGAGGTCAAGAGTTCAAGACCAGCCTGGCCAACATGGTGACGCCCCATCTCTAGTGAAAAATACAAAAATTAAGTGGACATGGTGGCGTACACCTGTAATCCCAGCTTCTCAGGAAGGTAAGTCAAGAGAATTGCTTGAACCTGGGAAGCGGAAGTTACAGTGAGCTGAGGTGGCGCCATCGCACTATAGCCTGGGCAACAGAGTAAGATGCCGTCTTCAAAAAAAAAAAAAAAAAAAGTTCCCTCAAAAGAAAACAAAACAAAAACTTAAAGGTTAATCATCTCTTCTGTCATGAAACCTTCCTAAACCCTTACCCTAAAGGCATTCTGATCTCTGTATCTTCTCTGTTCACTCATTCCTTACTAACTTACTTTTTAAGCTGTTACTCGTATTTGTAAATGACTTTTTTGAAAAGCAGAAATCACCTCTTATTTTATTTGATGTCTTCCACTGTATTCTACACAAATAGTGTATAAGACAACTGCTCGGCAAATCCAAGAATAAGTTCTGAGGAGATGGTCATTTGGGGGAACCCTAAAACTGTAAGCGGGTGCAGGAAGTATCCACAAATGAGAGACTAATGCAGCTCTCTGTATGTTTGGTAAGTTATCTCACTTCTCAGTATCTGATGTCAAGCCAGCTTGAGGATAAGCCAGAGAGAGGACAGCATTTAAAATATTCCCTCTGGGCCAGATGCTATGGATCATGCTTATAATCTTTGGGAGGCCAAGCCTGGAGGATCGCTTCAGTCCAAGAGTTCAAGACCAGCCTGGGCAATGTAGAGACTCCATCTCCATAAATAATAATAAATAGCTGGTGGTGTGTGCCTCTCATCCCAGCTACTCATGAGGCTGAGGTGAAAGGATCTTCTGAGCTCAGGACGTCAAGGCTGCAGTGAGCTGTGCCTACCGCATTCTTGCCTGGGTGACAGTGAGACCCTGTCTCAAAAATTAAATAAATTATTCCCTCAGAATCTTAGGGCAAGGTATGACAAAAACAAAGTTGCAAAAGCAGCTCTGTTTCAGTTTTTCTCTTAACTTTTTGTTTACCAGTTACTGTGAAGATGAGCAAGAATAGTAGAAAGTGAAGTGTATTCCATGCAATTAATCTTCAGTGCCTTCTTTCCACCCTCACTAGCTCGACCCTACTCCCTAAAAACCGGTATTACAAATGGCTACTTATGTCTATCACTTTTAAATCATGGGGATAGCTAGTGGGTGATTAATTTATAAATCTATGTAGTTACATTAGTTAGCTAGCAACTAAAATCATACCTTCCTAAAATAATCATTTTGCAAACTTGTCATTTTTGTAACTATGTTTAGAAGACTTATCACTATTTTTAGCCATTATTTTAGCGTTTTCAGGGAAAGATGAAGGGAAGTGTTACTAGTGAGTATATTTAAGGCATTTTTTAAATGACTATTTCTATATCCAATTCCTCCCCAAAATAATGTGAAGCAGATTATTTCACCTCATTGTAAAATAATGCCAGAACAAAGTGATAGACTACTAGCCTTTCCTTATAAAACAATGATGCCCTGATTTATAGTTTCTACACAGAAGCACTGCTATTTCCACAGCTAATTCAGGTTATTTCATATTATTCTACTCTATGAACGGATGGGTATGTGTATTTATTAAATAGTGTTGATCTCTTGAATGAAAAATTAGAAAATCACAGACATTACTGTAAGAGCTTTCAGAATCCCTAAATTTGTTCATCTTTAATGTATACATACAGGCATAGCGATGGAAAGGTTTTCCAACTACAGATATATCAAGGTGGCATTTAAAAATCTCTCAACAATTGTTACAAAAAATGGAAAAACAATATACATATAGTCTTATAAAAATAGTACATGATTAACATACAAAATATATCAGATACTCAACAAGAAACTAAAATGTCCTTAAGTCTTCAAAACCAAATGTATTTGACTAGTCTATTTCTTTTTCCTTGAAAATTTAAAGGATTAACTTCTTTGAGCAGAAAATATACTAGATTAATCAACGAGAAAACAAGAAAATTCAAGGAATTGAGAAAAGAGGTAAAACAGACAAGAAAAAGATGCACACGCTCAAAAAGAACAAGTCTGTATATGCATCTTATGTGACCTGAATCAAGCTATTTTTCTTTGAGCAAAAATGTTAATTTTTGTGGGGAAATATTCACTAGAATAAAAGCAAGCAGATGATTATGAGAACTATTACAAGATATAATGGCTGTGGCTTAATGTGTTAAATTCACTTATTAAAAGGACAATTTCTATGGGAAATAAGAACAAATAAAGGTGAATCTCAGCATGAGATTTTATTAAGAAAGGTACAAATTAAATAGCTAGTGATATAAAGTAATTAATCATCTTATGTTTTTTAAAAGGCTGTGGCACACTCTCATCCCTGTTTTATTTCAAAGGCTTTACACGGTAATCCTCAGTACCACTAACAATAGGTAAAAATTAGATTCAAACTGCTTTCAATAATTCTTGTTTATTTATTTTTGAGACACAGTCTCACTTTGTCACCCAGGCTGGAGTGCAGTGGCATGATCTCAGCTCACTGCAACCTACGCCTCCATGGTTCAAGCGATTCTCCTACCTCAGCCTCCAGAGTGCCACCATACCTGGCTAATTTTTTGTATTTTTAGTAGAGACGGGGTTTCACCATGTTAGCCAGGATTGTCTCGATCTCCTGGCCTCATGATCCACCCGCCTCAGCCTCCCAAAGTGCTGGGATTATAGGCATAAGCCACCAGGCCCAGCCTATTTTTTTAAAACAACATTTGAAAGTACAACACACAGAAAGTATAATAACCTTAAGGTGGCATAAAAGCTAGGTGTTAGAATTTTTATTTCAACTATCAAGTCAAGTTGATATTTAGAGCAGGTTGATAACTGGCCTTGTATCAGAAAACAGGGAATACTGAAGTACTGGATATTTCCATTATCCCTAGTTTGCTGCAAGATGTTACTTTTCATTTGATAGGGTCCAGAATAAAATTCACCTTAATTGATACAATGATTTTAAAGGATGTTAAAACCTGGGCTGTATTGTTTAAAAACAAAAGTTATAACATGAATGAAGAAAAAAAAATATGTTACTAGAATAATAAAGCAATAAGATCATGCTACCACTGCTCCATCTTCACAAGTTAATAATTGTAAAAATCGGCCACTGTCTTGTTCTGAACCAGGTTTAGTTAATGACTATGTGGTAGTCATCACATGGAGTCACAACCTGCATTTTATAGCTCAGGCTCTCCCCTAGCCTTACTTGGAGAGTTAGGAGAGTCAAAGAGACAGATATAATTTGGACAGAGACTATGTGATCTAACAAAAATCACCCTGACCTAAATCAGCAAACAGCAAATGCTTCATCATTCATTGTAGTTTTACCTCTTGAGGAAGTTCTAGTTTAGAACGGTCAGTTCCTTCTTTTGACTGAAGGCCCATCAGATAGGGAACAGGAGCATCAAGAAAATGTAGCAGAGAAGCAGGGAGGATGGGCACATAAACATGTTGCCATTGAAATGGGAACAAAAGTGTGGTGATTCCTTCTGCCACAGTCATCAGGCGTTGATAATCTGCACAGAACAAAGAAAAAGGGAGGGAAAGAGTAAAAATAAAAACATAACTTCATTAAGCTGGAAAATGTGGATTTTAAGAAAAAAAATCTCTATGTTAAAGGTAAACGTTTCTTTGTGATCATGCAGAAAATAGTTCAGTTCTATTTCACTATAATTAAAGATTAAATGGTTTCATTTGAATAGTTTTAACGGGGTGTGGGTAGATGGGAAACATCATCACACTCTTTCCTTCTTAAAATCATAGGTATGTGAACTTATATTCTCTTAAAGTGTGGAGGAATCAAGAACTAATAAAACTGCTCCTGGCATTTATCCCACTAAAAATGTACAAGATAGAGTATAACATTATTATTATTATTTTTGAGATGGATTCTCACTTTGTTGCCCAGGCTGGAGTGCAATAGAGCAATCTCAGCTCACTGCGACCTCTGCATCTCGGGTTCAATTGATTCTCCTGCCTCAGCCTCCCAAGTTGCTGGGATTATAGGTGCCCACCACCACACCAGGCTAATTTTTATATTTTTAGTAGAGACGGGGTTTCTCCATGTTGGCCTGGCTGATCTACAACTCTTGACCTCAAGCGATCTACCCACCTCAGCCTCCCTAAGTGCTGGGATTACAGGCGTGAGCCAACGTGCCTGGCCAGTGTAACATTATTAATCAATTTTTTATACATGCATACTCACACAATCCCCAATTCAGAGGCATTTTGCTTTTTTTTTCGAGACAGAGTCTCCCCCTGTCACACAGGCTGGAGTGCAGTGGCACAATCGTGGCTCACTGCAACCTCCTTCAGAGGCAAAATTTTTTCTTGTACAGTATATATGATCATGGCTATAGCTTTTGGTTAGCTGATTATATTTATTTCAGCCTTTATTTTGGGAGTACAAGAAGTCAAACAGATATATGCATTCACAGTCACAATTCCTATGTCTAACCCCTAACCACAAAACTATCATATCTGGGTATTCTCGAGTTAACAGAAAATTAAGGATTGGTGTTTTTGTTTTGTTTACAAGAACTAAATAATTTATCAAAATTGAAAGCTGCCCACAATAAAGTGGACTTTTAAACCACGCTGTAAAGGTTACTTTATACTTACATATGTCCATAATTCCTATTTAAAGTTTGGAAGTAGACATGTTTTAGAATTCAGATTTTTTAATTTAGAAAAGCAATATGGTGCATATACCACATACATATACCAGATATCTAGGGCAGTATCCTATAATCAAATACATTAATATTTCTGCAGCAAACCATACATGTCCCAGTAGGACAGATAATCAAAGAATATGAATAGGGTCGCTTTGGTTCACGTTTGGTTTTGCTGATGAATGAGTTACAAAAAGAATGTTTGGGAATTTTTTGGATTTGAGAATTGAAGATAATGGATTGTGGGCTTGTAATAATCCTTGGATAGAACCCATTGTGAACAAATACAGTAAAATCTTTGGGAGAAAGACTTTAGGGGAGTCTTTTTGATTTACATAAACTCAAAAAACACCTGACCAAGCATAAACAGGATGTCTTCCATTTAATTTTTTTTCTTGTGTCATTTTATAATTTTAAATGACTACCTTTTTGGTTACAAATCATCAGTTATCCACAGCCCAAGTTTACTTAAAATTTTCCTTATTTGATTCATAAAGATTCAAATTTTAGGTAAAAACCTGTTTACAGGAATAACTTCTAAAACAAATACCAGGTGGCCTCAAAGGTAGAGGTCAGTCCTATGAACACAAAGAACTAACCTAATTACCTCAGGTGGACACACACATTTTATCAGCTGAGGCCCACAGAAGAAGCTAGGCTGAAACAGCTGGTTCTGTCTGCGTAGGTGAGGCAGGTAGTAGAGGAAATCAGACAATCAGTTCCTACCACTCTGCTAGGATAATCAGGAAGATGTTTGAACTGCAGGCAATATGGGTTTTTACCCCAGGGGTGGGCGTGGGGTAAGGATGAAAAGTTGACCTGAAACCCCTGAAGTTTGCTGGATGTAGGTGTAGAAACTGTGCCCTAATAAGAACTAACTTAAGTACTGCACTATCACAGAACTCCATTACGGCACGTGGCCCTAGTACTGTCTCTCCTCTCTGTGGGTTTCCTAAAGACAGAGTGGTGTCCATTTTCTCTGATTTTATCCATAGAAGCACAGGGCCTAATCACAGCCGGTGCTGACTAAAATTTACTGATACTACTTAATGTTACATTTTTTTTCCTCTTAAGTTCAACAGAATCCTAACAAAATGCAAAAAAAGGCATGCTAGGTGCAGTGGTTCATGCCTGTAATCCCAGCACTTTGAGAGGCCGAGGAGGGTGGATTACCTGAGGTCAGGAGCCTGGTCAACACGGTGAAACCCCGTCTCTACTAAAACTACAAAAATTAGCTGGGCATGGTGGCAGGCACCTGTAATTCCAGCTACTCAGGAGACTGAGGCAGGAGAATCGCTTCAACTGGGAGGTGGAGGCTGCAGTGAGCCGAGATCACACCACTCCACTCTAACCTGGGCAAAAGAGCGAGATTCCAGCTCAAAAAAAAAAAAAAAAAAAGGCCAAGCACAGTGGCTCACACCTGTAATCTCAGCACTTTGGGAGCCCGAGGTGGGCGAATCACCTGAGGCCAGGAGTTCAAGAACAGTCTGCCCATCACTGCAAAACCCTGTCTCTAAAATACAAAAATTAAGCATAGTGGCACATGCCTGTAATCCCATCTACTTGGGAGGCTGAGGCACAAGAATCCCTTGAACAGAGGAGGCAGAAGTTGCAATGAGCTGAGATCGTACCACTGCACTCCAGGCCTGGGTGACAGAGCGAGACTCTGTCTCAAAAAACAAACAAAAACCCAAAAACAAAAACCCACCAGGAATAGGAAGAGACGGTTACTTATAGTTACATACTATGAAGACCAAATCCAGAGAAATCTCCTTAGATTCTGCTCTGTGGCCATCCACTTCAACCAAGGATTGGGGTCTTTGTTATTCTTATAACTTCAGTACTTACCACAGTATCTGGCATATAAAAGAGGCTAAAATGATATTTTTGAATGAACAGATGAGAGGGATAAGAATGTATATAATTCTGCTGGGTATCTATTACTTAAAAAGACATGCGTAGATTTTATTCCATCCATGTGTTGTGGGTGTTCTATGTCTATTCTTCTCTTCAGATCTGCATTATCTTCAAGATTGGTTAAGTACCACACACTTTTTTTTTTTTTTTTTTTTTTGAGATGGAGTTTTCACTCTTGTTGCCCAGGCTGGAGTGCAATGACACGATCTTGGCTCACTACAACCTCCACCTCCTGGGTTCAAATGATTCTCCTGCCTCACTTAGCCTCCCGAGTACCTGGGATTACAGGCACATGCCACAGTACCTGGCTAATTTTTTTTGTTGTTTTTAGTAGAGATGGGGTTCCACCATGTTGGCCAGGCTGGTCTCAAACTCCTGACCTCAGGTGATCTGCGCATCTCAGCCTGCCAAAGCGGTGAGATTACAGGTGTGAGCCACTACGCCCAGCCCACACACTTTTTAATAATGCAATTACTCAGCAGAAACAAGACGATTCTTTTTAATTGAATCAAGAAATAAAAGGCAGAGTTTTCTTCTTTTAGCATTTTTTTAAACTGAAATATTTTAGGAAAGTCTTTTTATAATTGATACTCAAAGTGATGAATGTATAAGTTATTTTAATATTTAAGACAGTCCTCAGTTCAGCATGGCACATGAGGCTCTTCATGATTTGGCCCCTGTCTGCCTCATTCCTTACCACCACTCCATATGTATAGTAAGACCATCTGCTTGCAGTCCATGTTTCACAGGCCGTGTGCCCCTTGTATATCCTCTTCCTCTGCCCAGAATGTCCCTTCCTCTTGTACTGCCTGGGTAGGTTCCACTTCTTCCTCAGGCAATTGTTTCTTTGGAAAGCCTTCCCTAACACTTCTTAGCACCAGAGTGCTATCTACATGCTTCAACAGTACCCTATCTTTATTTCCATCACAGGAATTATTCATCTCACTAAAATGATTACAATTCTATTATAATTCTCTCTTTAGGGTCTCTCTTCCCTAATATGCCATCATCTCCTACAGAGCAATATCTGAAATTTTAAATTTATTTTTGGAGACAGGGTCTCATTCTTTCGTCCAAGCTGGAGTGCAGTGGTGCGATCTAGGCTCACTGCAGCCTCTGCCTCCCAGGTTCAAGCCATTCTCGTACGTCAGACGCCCGAATAGCTCAGATTACAGCCATACACCACCATGTTTGGCTAATTTTTCATGTTTTTTTTTGTAGAAATGGGTTTCACCATGTTGGCCAGGCTGGTCTTGATGAACTCCTGGCTTCAAGTGATCTGCCTGCCTCAGCCTCTCAAAGTGCTGGGATTATAAGCATGAGCCACTGCGCCTGGACATATCTGTATTTTTAATCTCAGAATTGTTAACATTCAACATATGACCTACTACATGGTGAGTAGCCAGTAAATGTGCTTTTATAAATTAATATGTTAACATCTAAGGCATGTAAAATGCAATAAAAGTAGATATTAAAAAATTATGCTTGACTGTTATACAATAAAAACACACTGTCAAAAATTTGCTAAGTAGTTGCTCTGGTACAGATCCCAAGGTGGCAATGGCCTCTGCTGCCTCAGCCCCTGTCATGCTGTCCACTAGCAGCACTGTGGAGAGTAAGGTTAGCTCCTCAAGGGCAGCAGAGGAGTCTGGGTCTGGAGCTGTGCTGGCGGCACAGGAACCATGGTGGGGCAGACCAGGAGCTGTGTCTAGTAAGGTTTATGCATTGCCAAGCACTGCCAATGGAGATGTGAAGCTGGTGGTATCTACTGTGTCTCTGGTGGACTTACTGATGTAGCTGGAGGATTATACACTTACGATCCTGGATGCTGTGACTGATTTTTTATTTTTATTTTTGAGAGGGAATTTCGCTCTGTTGCCCAGGCTAGAGTGCAGTGGCATGAACTTGGCTCACTGCAACCTCTG